ATGAATAGGAATTTGAAGGAGCTGAAAAGGATTTCCCAGGATAGGGTTTGGATGGAGAATTCTGGTGAGTGATCTATGCTCCTTCACAAGGATGAACAGGCGTAATTAGTAAGTAGTAGAGTGTTCCAGTCAAAAATAGTGCTAAATTATATTGATTATCATTACTCAATTATTATTCATTTTGAAATTACAACTTGAAACACAAATCATAACACAATATAGATGACTAGTGATGTTCAAGTTAACTCATAACAATTTATATATTTTCTATCTATAAATATATAGTGTATGCTACTTATGTTGACAAGTATAAGTAGTATGTAACATCAATCAGAAGTGGAATTCATGCAAGGAAAATGAGATCTAACCGTATGTATTCAGTATATATCTACATATGTTTTATGTAAATTATGGCACCAAATAGAAAATTTATGATTTATCATATATCTTAAATCTCTGATAACAATATAACCATTGTTATGCTGATTTAGATTTGGTCGCCTCTAATGAATGTTATCTACGCATATACAAAAAAAAATGTATTACATAATAGATTATTATATTTGTGGGTGTTTTTCATTCTTTTTTTAGAAAAATAAAACAACACAATATAAACTTTAATAATAATAATAATAATAATAATAATAATAATAATAATAATAAAATAGCTTTGAAAGTATATAGAAATATACGTATTCCTGCATATGTAAATAGATACATCTTATGCATATTTATTTACATTGGTGAGATACACTGAAAGACTGACCAATTTCGAGTGATCATACAATTCAAGTTAGTGGTGATCAACAAATAAATGAATGAATATATACGCATGCATCTCTCTCTCTCTCTCTCTCTCTCTATATATATATATATATATATATATATATATATATATATATATATATATATATATATATATATATATATATATATATGAATCTAGATATCCCATAGGATATAAATACATAAATTTGGTTAATAAATATATAGAATATCTATTTATTCATCAAAAGTATCCTAAGAACCAAAACGAAAAAAAACCTCAGCGGAAAACAGGTGTTTTCGTAGTGATTATATAACTGAGAAAACATGTTAGCCATGTATTATACATATGTAATGTAGAGAAGGGAATAGAGTGCGCACACGAGAGAGAGATGTGGGCGAAAGATAAAAACTAAAGATGAGATTGCCTTAAGCGAAATTATTAAAATTCAGTAAAATAATCAAAACTCGAGTTGTTATTGTTGTTGCTGTTGAAGTGTCATAGTTATTCGTTAGTTTTAGTGTGACAGGTTTTAAGAGATTTTGAACTTATGCGGTGTTGACTAGATTGTCACTTACAAAAGAGATATCGATACTACAGTTTATCAATGGATAATAGGCATCATGTAGAATTCTGAATTTAAAGGTATTTATAAAATATCACCGACATGGACTGAACTGAACTGGTCATCGTTTCTCAGTAGAACTTCAGGAGTTACGATTTATACCGACGAACGAAAATACAATTTCATATAGAATAACCAATACACATTTGTGAAACAATTCAATTGACTGAAGCATTTCAGTTTAAATACTTAATTACTGTATCCAATAAATAGTAAGTGGGATAAAAAAGAAGCCGATATCAATATCACAGATGTATTCATTCCATATTCTCCCTTAAATTTTTAGTTTCAAAAATAAGTCATACATTTTGTTTCTTAAACCATGTTTTCCATATTTAAATTGTTTATACTACCAAAGACATTAAAATCACTTCGATCTTTTTGCTATACGTCTAGATAAGTGCTTCTCACACTGTGATTATGTAGCCTGGTAGCATGAGTTTTTGAGTTGACAATGTGTTGGTTAGTTGACTTACTTAATGTAGAGAATCATATAACTACCCAGTTTCTTTCCAATCAAATGATTTATTAATATTAGACTATGATTAGTAATGAAATCCAGTAAGTGTTTCATCGTATTCGCCACTCGTCATTCTGAGTCAACAGTGTTGATGTACAGGCTGAAATTCAATCACAGTACCTCCTACATTGAAAATCCAAGTGTTGTCCAAAAATCTACAAAGTACAAATAGCTATTACTATATTCAACAGCTATAAAATTATTTGTAGAGATTCCTGTTTTCTTGCTGTTGATGTTAAGCACCATAATCAACCAGTCTTTATTGGTTTATGGACATCTTGAACAAGTTGTTTCAATACTGTCATTTAAACACAAGTTTTAGTAAACCTTCACAAATAAATAAAATCGATCAATGTCAACAACAATGAATTACTTTATAATTTAAAACTAAGTTGAATGTTCAATCTATAAGAGCTAAGAAAACGATTCATAAATGTTCCACTTTTAATTAGTTAGAAAACACTAACAAAATTGTATATTCTTTGATCTATTAGTAAATTTTAAAGTCATCTTTCAGTCAGTCAGATACAACGTAGAACTAGGCACATATATGCATCGGTCCAAGTCACCATACCTCATTCACACAGCATGGTGAACACCATGACTTTTGTTTTATGATTTCATTATTTAAAACTATACGATCGTATATACATAGAGAACAAATGAACAACAGTATAGAAAATTTGGTTCTTATTATGTGATTGTAAACGGAATTATTCAGAAGTTAGACTAGTAAGTTCTCAGGAATACCAATTGAATTCAGTTAAAGATTTATAATTATGATAAGAAGTTATTCAGAAAAAAATTTTGATTAGACATGACTAACAAATAAAATTGAATCACTTTGGGATGTACGAGGTTAACAAACTGGGAGAAAGATATATAACGATGGTAAATTGCAGAATAAGAGGGTATAATCATAGTACGGTAATGCCCTGTTACGGCCGAGAGTGATGAAAGTCATTTTTCCCTCTCGAAAAGCTCTCACATGGCCACGTGCATATAACCACTACCAGGGAAGTTCTCTTAAATAGCGGGGATATTGTTTACGAAATTGAGAGGATGCAAACCAAGTATCCGGTATTTTAACCGGGTTGGTGGATATGGAGGATTCACCTAAGGGAGTTGGAAAACCCTGATTCCAAACCAATGGTGCACTTGGGCTCCAGGATTCTAAGGGAACAAATGGCGTATGAACCTATTGTCAATCACAGGCTACCATGGAACTGAATCTTCTGACATTGCTCCAATGCATTGTGGATTAGACCTTCAGGTCTAATGCTCCAAGTGTGGCCTCCTAAGAAAGCCACCTGCTTCGGTTTGGGCATCCAGGTAGTATCCCAGTCCTCAGACAAATCGAATGCTTTATGTGGCTATTTAACTATGTGGTTATATATTTGATGCCTTCTTGTACTAATATTTATGTGTTTAAATAAATATAAAAAATTTAATGTACATATATATTTGAAAATTTTATGTGTTTTTGTACGAAAAAGCCCTTTAGTACTAAGAGAAAATCTGTGTCACATTTTGTAAACCTCTACTACATTTGTAAATGAAATTGAATAAGTTTATCTTAATCGAATGACCAAGGTTTCCCTATTGTTTATTGAGTTTTTAATATACAATAGCCCCCAAATGCCCTGGTACGGCCGAGAGTGGGGAGAGTCCGCTCTCCCTCTCGAAATACTCTCACACGGCCACGCGTATATAGCCTCTGCCAGGGAAGTTCTACTCACTGCCTTATCGTGGCACTACTGTTGTTTACGAAAATGAGAGGACGAAAAGCGAATGTCCGGCGCTTTAACCGGATTCCAAACCAATGGTGCACATGGGCTCCAGTATCCTGCGGGAACAAATGGCGAATGAACCAATTGTTGGTCACCGGCTTCCATGGGACTGCATCTCCTTACGATGCTCCACTGCCTTGTGGATCAGACCCTCAGGTCGAAGGCTCGGGGAGTGGCCTCCTAAGAAAACCACCTGCTTCGGTTTGGGCACCCGGGCAGTATCATAGCCCTCACACATATCGGATGAGATTTGTGTGGCGCATATGTATTTGGTGCCTCTTTGTACCATTATCTATGTGTTGAAATAAATAAAATAATAAAATATACAATTAACCCCACTTCTTTTTTTATTGTAAAAGATAGTGTTTACGAATTCTTCATCAATTAATTACTCCTGTTACACCTCATGGAGCATTGGTCGCCGATTAAGAATCGCCAGTCAACTCTGTTCTGAACCCTCTACTCCAGTTATTTCTGACTACCATTTATTCCTTTGATGTCTGCTTCAACTCCCCTGATCAATATGTTCTTTTTTCTTTCTCTTTCTCTTTTGTCTTAAGGATTCCAAGTTAGTTAAAATAAATCCATGATACAATGTACATCGATTATCATTGTAAAACGAATTTTGCATATACATGAATTAAGGTTTTAAAAATCAAATCATAAAACAAAAAATATCTCTCCTTTTATTCATTCACATTCTATTCAGATCAACACTAAGTTATATATATCATGTCTATCTCCATCTCCCGGCGTAATATGTTCTTCGGTCTTCCTCTTTTCATTTGGCCTTCAGGATTCCATGTGAGGGCTTGTCTTGTGACGCGATTGGGTGCTTTCCTCAATGTGTGTCCTATCCACTTCCAGCGCTTCTTCTTAATTTCTTCCTCCGCTAGGATCTGGTTTGTTCTTTCCCACAGTTGGTTATTGCTAATAGTGTCCGACCAACGGATCCGAAGTATTTTGCGTAGACAACTGTTAATAAACACTTGTATTTTCTGGATGATGGCTTTCGTTGTTCTCCAGGTTTCTGCCCCATGCACTGGAACTGTCTTGACATTTGCATTGAAAATCAACACCTTGGTGTTGTTTGACAGTTGCTTTGAGTTCCCGATGTTCTTCAGTTGTAAATATGCTGCTCTTGCTTTACCGATCCGCCTGGAGTCCCTCCGGGAGCTACTGCCGGCCCCAAGCCTGGGTGAAGGAGGGTTGAGCATGGGGTTAGCGACCCCATCCCGTAGAAAACTAACTCGTTAAAAAAACGCTAACCAGAAAAAAATTATATATAACAATGATTACCATTAATTCCTTCATTTTTAAATGCATTCAAAGCTTCAGTATACTCCATTTTTGCCAATTCTGAATTCATGGAATATTGACTAGCTCGTATTACATTAGATCTGTCAGAGTATAAAGCGGATAATCCAGGTAGTCGATGTATAGCATCAATCATTTTCACTGAAACACCAATAGCTATTAAAATTAAAATTAGTAACAACAAAAAATACTTTCGAATAAATGGTTATAGAAGGATAATGCAACACATTTCCAAAGTAAAACACTTCAGCATATGTAAACATTTTTAAAAAAATCTAATATATCACTATTAGTATATGGTTGAATTATCGTACTGTTAATAATCAGAAAAGGATTTCGATCAGTATTTCATGGCATATTAAGATTTAGTCTTGAATATCAGTAATGAGATAATAAAAATGTAACCCTAAGATCCACGGAATAAGTTAATGGTTATTTGAACTCCATAGCTTAGAGGAATACGTGTTCATGTTCGAACTAAAAGGTACTGGATTCAAGCTCTAATGAGAATATTAACACTGAGATTCAGGTAAATTCAGCTGACTGGCTCTAAATTGAAAGAAAAGCACTTCCTAGGTACCGCTGTTATATGTAATTCATTTGTAAGTTATATTCGACACGAATTGATACCACTTGAGATACTTTTAAAACCATAGAATACATAATTACAATGAATATGCTTCGAATTTCAATTGAGTACAACCATATTGGAATAGTCAAATAATTAGTATTGTTAATCTTTATTGAAAAAAAGTAACTAATTGTTCTATATATACAGACCTGGTTGAACTCCACTGGTAACAGTTTCTCACTAGAACTCCAGGAAATACCTCTTGAAGCCAATTACTAGTGAGCATATAATGGTTATAATCAGAGAGCGGTTTTGCCGAAATTATAGTAATTTAATAATTGAATTCATAAGTCAATTGAAGCTAGACCACGACAGTTCAGTGCTTCCAGGTTTTCCATGATGGTCTAGCTTCAATTGGTTCATGAATTCAACTATTGAAATTACTATAATATCCGCAAAACACCTCTCCCAATCTTATTATGTTTAGAAGCTTTCATTTGTTCATTCTTCCATAAAATATATAATTTCATATAATGAAGTGTATATTGGCCAAAAATTAGGAACATAGTTTTCAGTCATTCTTTAACTAATGTTAGTTCATAATAGAAACTGTTTTCAAAATGATCAAATCATTACAATCATCTATTTAAATTACAAAATGTGATACCTTTTTATAATTCTAATCAAAATGATGATTACATCAATAGGTTATTTCACCGATCTCTTAATCCTATTGATAACAATCAAAGGAATACATCATAAACTCTCATTTTTAGGTTAGATGGTGGTTGGAGATATTTGACAGGAAACCGTGGACCCGGATTTCGTGCTACTTGGTACTTGTCAACAAGGTGTACCTGTAATCTTGAGGGAACTGGTGCTCCCCTAAAGATCCAATCCCGTGTCATTAAGCTTCACAGTCAGAGACGTTACCACTGAGCTATCCGGGTCGCGACCGACCTCCTGTAGGACTGAGACGTAATCACAATTGATTGATCACTTGGTGATGATCAATGTTATGTGTATCAATTCCTTATTAGTACAGATCGAATGCTATCGACTAAGTTGCAATGTCTTGAGTAAAATTGAATTATTAATATTTTGATTAATACCTTCAATCAAAATAGATAATCACTGATGTCATAAATTAACTGATGATAAAAAAATGTTTATCATTTGAATTGCAAATTTTTGGTTCTCAATATGATTAGATGACACTAGCACTGATTAAATAGCTGGACATTTTAAAAGTATTTATGTCAGTGATTTATCAAAATACAATCATATGAATATCGCATAATAAACATCTATTGTATATCATTTATGAATAGTTCTCTTATTGACTATAACACATTACAATAGTTGAAATCATGAGTCAATTGAAGCTAGACCTCCATGGAAAATCTGGAAGCAGTGGACGGCCGTTTCGTCCAAATATAAGAATCCGTCTAATAATAATCATCTGCTCACTAATGACTGACTTCAAGAGGTATTTCCTGGAGCTCTCTTAGAGTTCAACCTGATCTCTTGTGAAATATCAACTCACTGAAAACAATAGTGGACGGTAGCGCAGTTTCGTGGATTGGTTTAAGTTAGACATTAACACCATTGGATGCCGACCAGCTCAGTGGTCTAATGGTCAAACGCTCGCGCGCAAGACTGATAGGTCCCCGGTTCCAATCTCGTGGAGAGCGGGATCGTGAATGTGCACTGCTGAGAAGTCCCATACTAGGACGAAACGACCATCCAGTGCTTCCAGAATTTCCATGATTGTTTAGCTTTAACTGACTCATGATCTTAACCATTGATTTCAATTATTACGTAAGAGAATGATAAGAAAAGTGAATGGCGCATAGAATAGATTAGATTGTGAACATAATTTATAATAATAATAATAACGTTTATTACTATAATTGATTCTATAAAAGTGGATAACTAAGTATAAACATAAATCTTTATAAGTAATTCAAGTGTGAATAGTAATAATCGTAAATAATTAACTCATTTTAAGCAAACATAATAGAAAGATTCTTAATAATGAAGAAATGAAATTAAATAACAAAAGTAATTACAAATAACTAGATAACTAACAATAAAAAGAAGGAAGGTAATAATAATTCACATATTGAATAATAATAATAATAATACTGTTGTGTCATAGAAACTATTTATCAGATTTATATACATAAATGAAATGATTGACAATTAAATTTCTATATTCTAAACAATTACTAATAGAATTGAATCTATTTTACCGAAGAAGAAGAAGGTAGTGAAGAAGAAGGTGGTGGTGCTGGAGAAGGAAGAGGTGGAGGAGTGAAAGGAGGAGAAGAAGAAGTAATTCACTTAGGATGTATGTATGTATGTACAGTTTAAGTAAATGATTTCGATGAAAAGAGAAAACTATTCTTCGCTGAATTCTCTTATTCTTATTCAATAACACTATGGATCATTTATGATCAGTTTATAAACTGTTTTAAATGCTTGTTTTAAAGTTGTTCTTTTTCACTTCAACAACAAAACGAATATGGAAATCTATTTTGAAAAAAATTATTTTAATAGTTTAAAGATTCTCATTATATTAAAAGATTAATATATTACAACAGTTGACATCATGAGTCAATTGAAGCTGGACCACCATGAAAAACCTGGAAATACTGGATGGCCGTTTCGTCCTATTTTATAATATATTGAAGAAAGAATATACTTTTCAACAAATTCTCTTCAGTTTCCTACAATTCAATATATTCAAATTAATCAGACTAAGGGTAAAGTACATGTTGTAAAGTATTTGAATTTAGGATTGTTAAATAAAATAGAATAAAATTGTTCATGTTGATATGATTCATATAGAATGTTAACTTGGATCAGCTTATATGTCAAATGAAAATGTTAAGATCCATGATCAGAATAAATATGGATCGTATATACAACCTTAAAATCAAACTATGGATCTGTAGAATGATTACAGTGGATTAGGTGTTCAAGTATAGAACTCCTAACTGTTATCCTTTCATCCTTGTAGAAACATACTGGGACATGTTCCCGTATCCGAGTTTAAAACGAGCGCTGACTACGGCCAAGGTACTTTGCTTCACAAGAGCAGGTGAACTGGTAAATGCACATGGAGGCAACCAGATCAGGATTGCCAAACAAAATAGAATGAAATTGTTCATGTTGATATAACACATATAGAATGTTAACTTTAATCTGCATATATGTTAAGGGAAAATGTTGGGATCTATGAACAGAATAAATTTGGGTCAGATAAGGTGAGAGAACTAACAGTGCAATTACAAATTCTATCAAAGGTTCAGTGGAAAACTGTAATGTGTAAACATTTTATGTGAAATTAATAAAAAAGTAACAAAGTGGGATGAAAGCAAAATAAATGAATGGTATATTCCGGAGATGAATGATGATGTTAAACCATTAATATAATAATAATAATAATAATAATAATAATAATAATAATAATAATAATAATAATAATAATAATAATTACGAACTTTCGTCTAAATTTGATCGAATAGTTTAACATAATTTGAGCGCCGAGTTAGTGTGAGACATCAAAGAGGAAGAATGTATTTGTAAAATCTCAGAGAAACAATTTGAGACTTTACAAATACATTCTTCCTCTTTAATAATAATAGTAATACAAAGATTTGTGAATAAAGATAACAGACACAATTACATTTGAGTACGAAAGGTCGTAAGTACAATAGTCAAATAAGGTTATTGAATAGCTAAGATTGCTACTGATTAATTGGCCTTGAGGTTGGCCAGAGGAGGAGGTGTGATTGAAGATATATTTTTCTGTACGTATAGCATATATACAGATTCAAGTTAACATCCTATATGAATCATATCAACATGAACAATCTTATTCTATTTTGTTTAACAATTCTAAATTCTCAGTTTAGAGGTTGTGGAGATTGTTAAGTTTTTATTCTCATTGAGATAATGAACCGACTGATGTTAGACCACCGTTGGAAACCTGGAAGCATTAGACGGCCGTTTCGTCTTATTCTCGAACTCCTCAGCGGTACACATCCACGATCACGCTCGCGAGATTCAAACCCACGGCCTTCAGTCTTGCGCGTGAAAGCTTAACCAACTGAACCACTGAGTTGGCATCCAATGGCGTTAATGTCTAACATCAACCAATCGAAGAAGTTGCGCAACCATCTTCCATTGTACTGAGGTAGACCCCTGTTTCTACCTGACACGGATTAGCTCCACTGGCGACGGCTTCTCACCAGAACAGGTCATTATCAAAGAAAGAACAAGGTGCATGCTTCATCCAAAACCTAAAAGATATGAAAACGATTGTGTCACATCCCACTGTATTTACCAATTCTAAATTCACATGATTTAAACAACCCTTAACATGGTCATTTTTCAGATTATTAATTTGGATACATGAATTGTAAAACCTGAATAGAATTTATCGAAAAAAATATTTTTCGTTCAAATATTAGTCTTTAAAAAAAATTTCAATAGTTGAGATCATGAGTTAATTGAAATTAAACCACCATGAGAAACCTAGAAACGCTCGCCCGCGAGACCAATAGGTCCTAGATTC